GTGCACTGACCACTAGGGAGCAGACACTCTGCGCAAGAGCTGTCTCCTAGTGGTCAGTGCGCTTCCACAGCCAACCTCCCAGGGCCAGCCAACATCCCACACCCCCTCCCCCCCGTCAGCTAATCTCCTGTGGCCCCCTCCTCCCTACTGGCCAACCTCCCACAGCCTCTATTGGCCCTGATCACCAGCCAGGCCGAGGGACCCCAGCAGTGCACGAATTCATGCACTGGGCCTCTAGTCAAGTATAAATCCATAAACCCTCAAAATGTGGATAATTGTTTCCTTGCCTTCATCACATGGTAGTAAGTGGCACAATGTTACCTGGGAAAGAACAAGTAAGAAGGGGGAAACGGGACTATTTATTTGCCATAGACTTTTTAATTTTGTATCTGAATTTTGAACTAAGAACGCTAAAGCCTAAAATGTTCAATGGTTGGTTCATGATAATAATGTTAAAAGAGCTGTACCCTTATCTATAGCCAGTAACCTTAAAGCTCCATGTCAGCTGCATAATGGAAAGAGATATTGAGCATCTCCAGCTGACAACATGTGATCCACTATCTAATTCCTGATTATACTAGACTTCGTTTTTAAGTGTTTTCTCTGGTGAAACAAAACAACCCCCATGAAGGATAACTCAGATATAACCCAAGATAATGATATTTGGTAATGTAATACCTGAGTATTCCCTCACTGAAGTTGTAGTATTTCCCCAATACAAACGCTCCTAAAAATATCAAGGAATTTACTGTCAATTTTAAAGGAGTAATTTAGTACTTTGCTCTTAATAAGTGAAAAATTCCACCTAGCTCAACATATAATCAACTAATTCATCCAGAGTCAAATTCCATCTGGCAAAATAGGGCAGATTATGATATTTTAAAACATTATCAGGACTAAAATATCCTTGCATCTTTAGCAGAGTAATTGTTTTTTACCAATCCTGGATGATTATTTAAAAATGTCAATAAATGCTCAGTAAATATTGATGATGGGGGGGAAGTGTTAAGAGAAATAAAACAATCACATAGAACCAGCACATTTTAAATCATCATTACAAGGTAACAGTTTATAAAAGTTGTAGTAATTCTTACTATTATTTCAATGCATTATGATACAAAATAAATACTTGTTGGATTCTCTAAATTACATAAAGCAATTTATATCATATATTTTGCTTTTTTTTTTTGTTATTTCCAGGTTTGGGAGGGGGGCATTTTCAGAAGAACACATACCAATGATTTATGGTTGACATAAACTCAAACCCAAGTACTCACATTAAGCAAGTGGATTATGTGCCAAAATTCTGCATGTAAGTCAATTGTTTTGAACTCAGACAACAATTAGTTCTGGAAACAACACCATAAATGCGGTGTTGGTTGAAAAAAGATCAACACCTCCAGCTCCTATTTAGATTATAGCATCACACTAACCTAAGCATTCGTTCAGAGTGCTGAGTTCCGGAAACGAAGGTTGGGCCATTTTCTTCTGTTTCTGGATTATGGGAAAACCCTGGGACCAGCTTTGAAATATGCTGAGGTTCCGCAGAAATAAAACCCACAGAACTCAAGGTCCCTCTCAAAGTCCCTCCTTGACACTTTCCCTGCTCCATTTAGACATGCAGATTCCTACTCTGAATCCCCAGGCCTTGACTAGTCTGTTACTATGGTGCTTTTTCTTTCTCCCTCTTGTTATAAATGTTTGTATAGTGATCATGCTCTCCCTTCCCCACTAGGATCCTTCCACCAACACACACACACACACACACACACACACACACACACACACACACTGCAAAACTCCTAAAGTGAAAGGTTTGTGTTTTAACTAATTTTTCCCATCATAACCTTGACAGCAAGGACAACTGGACACATACAGCAAGTGTAATTACTTTCTATATTGGCTGTTTATATATTGACTATATTTAGTGCCCATTTTTTATTAATATCACATTTAGGTTAATGTTGCCTACCTACTTTATATTTTATAACTTCTCCCTGCTTAAACCCTGCCCCAATCACTAATTTAGAATTCCACCAAGATCAGATGTTGAGTAAATTTATATTACACTGATACCAGCTTCTGCAAAAAAAAAAAAAAAAAAATGTGGTTGCCCAAAAGATTAAACACAAGGCAAGTACCTATTTCTTAAAGTAAAAGTCTGAGAAGGCTTTCCAAAGCGCAGGCTAATCCTCTGACTTTCTTTTTCAGTTTCCTGGAGGTGGCAGACACACCCCAGGGCATAAAGTCCAGAGCGCGTGAGACAAATTAACTAAAGCTAACAATGGTTGGCTACAGGTGAGAGAATGTAAGAAGTAAATGAGTTAGATGACTCTTGGGGAGGTTGATTGGGTGTTGTATTGCCATTTGGCCATAAGGGGGAGCCAGCCACTTAGGTAAGCGGCCACAACCCGCCAAAAGTGCCAAGCTGTGCTGCGGTGGCCCGAAGTCCCTGAAAGGGCTTCTCCATTGACAGACTGAGGTCCCTTTAGGAAACACTTCAAAAACAAATCAAGGGGAAAAAATCAAGGAAAACCAGAGTTCCTAGATAGTTCTGTGTTTTCTAAGTTCTTCAGCTTGCTTTGGGTTATAACTGTCATTATCTGTTTTCTAGCTATTTGAGCCAAGGAGACTGAATTAATGGTAAAAACAGACAGGCTTGGTGGGGGGCGGCAGAGGGGAGGGGGGGCCGCAGGGGAGATCGTCCAGATATTCAGATAACACTGTATTGTATCGGGCAAGGATTTCTTCTAGCGCCTCACTATCATTAACAAACTTCATTTAGAATGACATTGAATTAAATCGGATGGCTAATGCAAATGATAGCACCTACACAGAGGAGCCGAGGTTCTCTAGCAAAAAAGAAAAACAGAAGATACTAAAAAAAAAAAAAAAAAAAAAAAGCTGAAGAGGATGCCTGTTTCCAGATACTGACATGGGAACAGTGTACTGGTCCTTTGGATAACCCCACTCGAGCCTACAGTCACGGCCATGGGTGTCTATTTCCCCCAGTAGCGGTGCTGCAGTGGATTATTCTCCCCCTCTTCAAGTCTTTTAGTGGTAAAAACTCTCTTTCTTGGGAGAAAAATCATCTAATTAGGGAAGCTAAAAGAAATATGAAATTATATAATAATTTTACTTAAATTTAAGAATCTATACTAGTCACTGCCTTGATAAGAGTTTATAGATTAGCCTTAACCAGTTTGGCTCAGTGGATAGAGCATCTGCCTGAGGACTGAAGGGTCCCAGGTTCAATTCCGGTCAAGGGCATGTACCTTGATTGCAGACACATCCCCAGTAGGGGGTGTGCAGGAGACAGCTGATCAATGTTTCTCTCTCATCAATGTTCCTAACTCTCTATCCCTCTTCTTCTCCCTTCCTCTCTGTAAAAATCAATAAAATATATTTTTTTAAAAAAGAGTTTATAGATTAAATATAGAATAAACCAAAGATGAGTGACGGCTTTTCCATGATTTCAGGGAAAGGAACTGGCCCAGAGCAATCTCTCTGTGTTCTAAAAAGAGGTACCAGTTTGCAATTTTAATCATTATTGTTATCTTAGTGAAATGACAAAGTTTATTTAAAAATCATGCAGCCCAAGCCCCAAACAAGGACATGACTTAAACACAAACTAACCAAAGAAAAGTGAACATAGATTCATTGAATTTTTTTACCTAATGACCAGCTCACCCTCACAAAATGTCTTTGTATGATGGGCTATAATTTGGATTCCTGACCCTTTCACAAACCACAAGACAAAGATATCCTAACTCTTGAAAAATAAATATCTACCTCCAACTGCCCAGCATTTAGGTCTCAGTAACCATCTTGCCCAAGAGCAGAGGGCTCGTTTCCACCTGCCATCCCGAGGGCTGCAGCCATCATCACTCCCCCCTTCGCACCACCTGCAAGGCACAGCCGCAGGAGGCACGCTCAGAACCCAGTCCTGGAAAATACTCCACACTCCCCACAGAGGCAAGGCAACTAATATTGCGCAGATACCTTAATATTGTTTTGTTTTGTTTTTTTCTACACTGGTCTTTATAACTGTGGATGTTTTTATAGAAATGTTATCACTTTTATCTTCTTAATTAATTCCTCATTGCTTAAGGCAGCAGTTCTCAACCTGTGGGTCCCGACCCCTTTGGGAGTCAAACAAGCCTTTCACAGGGGTCGCCTAAGACCATCGGAAAGCACATATATAATTACATATTGTTTTTGTGATTAATCACTATGCTTTAATTATGTTCAATTTGTAACAATGAAATTGGGGGTCACCACAACATGAGGAACTGTATTAAAGGGTCTCGGCATTAGGAAGGTTGAGAACCACTGTCTTAAGGTGACAGAGACCATACACTGCATCAAATAATTTAGATCCCAAAGAAGACATATCACACCCCTTTATTTGGTTTTGATTGAGACCATGCCTTTAAAAAGATATAACTAAAAAAACTTAATAAACAAGAAAATGGCAGTCTAGAAGTTCTCAGCAATATGGGAAAGAAAAAGAAAGCAGCTTAGAATAGCGTTGAGCACATAGTTGGTACTTAAGAACTATCAAATGAATGAATGAACTACTTGGGAATCATAAGGAGGGAATGATTAAAAATCAAATAAATACAAGGGTGGGAAAAAGTAGGTTCACAGTTGTGAGTACACAAAACACATGGTCTATTATCATTTATTAATTCTTTTCCATATGACCAACTGTCAACCTGCTTTTGACCACCCCTGTATTTGAGTAGCATTCCATGTTATTTTAGCTTGCTTCAATATGTTTTACATGCCATTCCTTGAGCTATACTAAACAGTGGCGCTCTGAGTTATGCATGGTTACTTGACCCTGTTTCCCTAGTAATGAACTCTCCATGTGGACTACAAGCCAACACTTAGAGAGGCCCTTTTACTCACCCTTTGATGTGGAGACAGCTTCACACATGCTGCTTTCTAGGTAGGGTTGTAGGGTCAAACTCACCACATTTGTTGTGCATACTTACACAGCGGCTCAATTTCTGCCTAAGGCTGTGAAATTCTTCCACAAAATGTATTTCCTTGCTAACTTGGAGTTGACCAAAAACATCATCCATGAAGAAGGACAGAAGCTGTTCTTGGAATCTGCAGTTTTTCTACAAATAAGATATAAGAAATTGCATAAGGTAAACCGTGCATCGCTTTTGTAAAATGTCACTGAAACATCCCCCTGATTATTACTTAATGACCATCTGGGAAAATTTAAATGGAGGGGGAAAAACATCGAACAATTAGAAACCTGGGGGAGAAGAAAGGCCCTCTGGCTTACCATAAATAGTTTTTTTGATTTCTTTTTCAATAATCGTATATTTTTTATGCTGTCTTCCTACAATAAAACAGAGAGAAGTGAGTTTTATCCAGAATTATAAATGTCCTCTATGTCATCATTGTAAGCAGAGCCTCGTACTTACTGGAATTGTTGCTTTGAGCCTTGCTGTCTTGACATAGAGCATGTCAACAGCTTGGGACAGTGTTCCTCTTGGGTAACAGCTCTTGGTGAAGGAAGATTGCTTGTGCTTGGCAATAGCAAGAGATAGAGTGGCAAACAGCAACCCAGACGTCAAAATGCAATTCCCCTGCATTTCCCTCCACCTCACCCGGCCTGTGTCACTCACAGCAGCCAGAGAGTTGCTTGTGTTCACAGATGATAGGATAACCTACTTACTTTAACCCTCAAGGCTGCCTCTCCAATGAGATGCTGTGAAAGATAGCATACAGTTTATATAGAGGAAAATCACTTAGGCTGGTTTTTTTTTTTAAGAGTGCTTCATAATCAAAAAACGTTGACCACACCATCTGTGACATTAAGCAAAAGCTCCAATTTACTGGTAAGATTGGGGCCTCAGCCCCCTACCCCACAAAAAAAGTCAAAACTTGAGTTGCATATCTCAACAGATGTCATTATTTTTAAAAGTCATGCCATGCCAATGTGAAAGCCTGATTTCCAGGAGGTGTGTGAATTCTTTTAATTCCCAAGTGAAAAGAAAATTTCCTTTTCTAAGGAGTATCCCGGGAAAATTGAACAGCAGAGTAGAATGGGAAGACGGGGAAACATGCTCGTGATGGCATATGGAGTTCTATTTATCCCTGCCCACACCTTTTCCCGGGCTCCTCTTCCCTCAGAAGCCATCATTCTGCAGCCAGCATAAAAATCCAGGAGAGAAGTTTTCCAATTTTCTCAAGAATTTTTCCAGCTCAGAAACTATAAGGCCCCTAATATATTCAAGATTTATTTGGAACTGAACCTGGGATTAAGGCCCACAATTTTTAACGTTTTTTATTATCTCTAGCCAAGTTGACTACACGAACTTTTCTCCTAACTCTAGACTTCCAGTAGAATGTGAATTCTTAAGGAAAGACCCTGTCTTTTTATCTTTGAATCCTCAGTACCTATCATGGTGCCTCATTGAAAGAAGCACATTTAATATTAGTTGAGTAACCACTTTCCTTTCCACATCATGAGATACTACTATAACTGCTTAATTTAAATAAATTGATTCCATCAGAAACTTCTATCAAGGATCTGCCAACCCTAGCTGGTTTGGCTCAGTGGATAAAGCATCAGCTTGCGGACTGAAGGGCCCTGGGTTCGATTCCGGTCAAGGGCACCTACCTTGGTTGCAGGCTCCTCCCTGGCCCAGGGCCCTGGTCGAGGGTATGCAGGAGGCAACCAATCGATGTGTTTCTCTCTGTGGGGGACCCTATTCAGAGTACACCAGATACTCGAGGCCACTCTGAGTGTGGGAATCTTAATCAGGATGTCCAAAGTCTATACACAGGTACAAGAGCATGGACACAGTCATCTGTATGTACCCTGCTCGAGCGTGCCCTTCTATAACCCAAAAGGTCACCATTTGGTGAGAAGCCTCTTTTGTCTAAGTAGTATAAAGTTGTTACTGACCAGCCAGTACGGGGCTGTATTCTGGGGAAGATGTATTACAGCTGTGGACACAGAGGTTGCTACTGCTTTGTGGGAAAGGTGTATTGTTACCTAGCCGGTGTGCAGCTATTGTATGGGACTTTGCTTTGAAGAACTGCTTTGTCTAGTGGTTCCTTGTTAGCAATGGCTACATGGCCACTGGCTCCTACAATGAAGACTCTCTTTTATACCCACAATATATCATGGCTTCTGCATCGAATACCTGACAGTTGGTGTAGTGGAGCAGGATGAAGGAACTGAGTCCCAACACTCTCACATCAATATTTCTCTCTATCTTTCCCTCTCTTTCACTCTCTCTAAAAATCAATGGAAAAAATATCCTAGGGTGAGGATTTAAAAAAAAAGGTTCTGCCAATACAAAGACTACTGCTAGGTACTAGGGGCTATGAAGGCAGATGTTCCATGGACTTCCATCCTCAGTTCTGCCCCAATTCTTCCTATGGCAATAAATGTGGTTCATTTTGGGAAGTAGCCGCAAGGTAAGAAGTAAATGTATCACATGATCTCACTCGTATGTGGAATCTAATGAACAAAATAGATCCAGAGACATAGAAGCAAAGAACAGACTGTCGAATTTCAGAGGGAAAGCAGGGGAGGGTGGGTGGATGACAAGAGATCAACCAAAGAACTTGTATTCATATATGCATAACCCATGGACACTGACAATAGGTGGTGAAGGCCTGGGATGGAGGGTGGGAGTGGGCTAGAAGGGGTCAATGGGGAAAAAGGGGGGACATATGTAATACTTTCAACAATGAGAATTAAACAAAAAGGTATATTTTTTTAAAAGAAGTAAACGTAGTCCATGACCATTGGAAAGCAGAGCTGAGTCACCAAAGCTTAGCAATAACAGAGGTAACAGTGCCCGGGCTAGTCAACACCAGGAATCCGGTTGTGAGGAAGAGAGTCATCAGAACTAGGCAGAGTCAGTAACAAGCACCAGAGCCTAAGGCTAAATTCTAAATCAAGGAAGCCAGGGCTGGCGATGGAGCTAAGAGAGAGCGTAACATGAAATGTCCAAACACTTGTGAGCATTTTCTGATGTTTCAAAAAGTAAGTGAATCTCTTTGAAGAGCCCAAGCCTCATTTCCACCAGAGCACCTCTGCTGGTAGCAAACACACCCTCTGAAATGAGATGAGAACTCATCACAAAGAAGACAGTTGATGAGGAAAGAGAGGATGCACAATGCACAAATCCAAGCATCCTCCAAAGTTTTATCAAACACATAAGGGCTTAAAAAATAGCCTTTCTGCCTCATTTTCTAAGTGCATCAAAAAGAAGGTGTACAGTTATAACTGCAAGAATTGAGACAGAACTTAGAAATCACAATAGTGAGAGTCCTAGAAATCAATGTATTTTTCTATCAAAATGTATTAATCATTGGTCCATCTCTTCAGCCTGTGACCGTGGGGCAGTCAGCATAAAGCATCTAATAGACTTACTCAGACAAGGCAATGCATTTGAACTGGAATTTGCAGACCACTAGCAATATGATTTCCTCCCTTGAGGACTTTCCCTCACGCTCAGAATAAAAAGCCAAAGTCCTTCCAGTGACCTAAGGGCCATGATTTTGCCATTCTCTTACCTTTCTGGCCTCTTCTCCTACTGCTCTCCCCCTTGTTCACTTACCTACTCTAGTCACGGTACCTCCTTGCTGCTCTTTAAACTCACCAAGCATGCCTGCATCACAGAGCCTTTGCATTGTGTTCCCTCTCCTGAAATGATTTTCCCCCAGATATCTGCATGGCCAGCTCTTCCAATGGCAATAAGTTTGCTCAAATATCATCTTCTCAACAAGGCTTTCCCAAGATACTTGTTATGAGCTAAATTCCCCACAAAATTCATATGTTGAAGTCCGAACCCCCAGGACCCCAGAATGTGATTATATTTAGAGAGAGGGTCTTTAAATGAGTTGACAAATTAAAATGAGGTCAGCTGGGTGAGCATTAATCCAGTATAATTGGTGCCCTCATAGGAAGAGGAGCTGTGAACACAAACATACAGAAGGAAGACATGTGTAGGCACAGAAAGAAGCTGGCCATCTACAAACCAAGGAGGGGGACCTCAGAAGAAACCTGCCCTGCTGACACCATGATGTCAGACTTCTAGCCTCCAACCTGTGAGTAAATTAATTTCTGTAGCTTAAGCCCTCTAGTCTGTGTTACTTTGTTATGGCAGCCCTAGGAAACTAATACAACACCCTAGTTAGAATCAACCCCACTCCCAGCTCCTCTCTCTCTCTCTCTCTCTCTCTCTCTCTCTCTCTCTCTCTCTCTCTCTCTCTATTTTCCAAACCCCTTGTTGTGATTTAACATATTCTATATTTACTTACACTTTTTATTAACGATCTGTCTCCCTTTCCTAAAACCTTAAGCTCTATCAAGCAGGGATTTTTGTCTGCTTGGCCGTGGCTGTTACTCCAAATCTAAACAATGACTAGAACATAATCTGTGCTCAATAAATAATGTTGAATTACTGAATACACCCCACAGTTACCACAGAATGCCCTGTTAGGTGAGAAAAGACCAACGGGCAGTTAGAGCTCTACGGAGGAAGGAGAAAGACTAATCAATTCTGCTTTGAGAGAGCCTTTCTGGGTGTTTCTTCTCAATTCACGTCTGAGCTATGTTGGGCAGCCACAAGAGCTCTTTATCTTCTCATTTGGTCTGTAAGATCTATAGAGCCCACAGTGGTATTCCCCTCCCCTGCCTTCAGTATTGTTTCGTGCCTCTCCTTTGTATTTCAAACTAGACCAGAATATAGGAGATCAGATCAGCTATGCATCAGGCTTGATGGGAACCTCTTGTGCAACTTGGTGCTATGCAATGCTGGCTACTGCTTTTCACCTCTGTCTTTCTCAGAACTTCCTATACACTAGCTAAATGCATCTGGGGATTTTTGTATTGCAGACCTGGGTGCTCTCGGTGAAGGGAATCAGCTAATAAGAGGTCTCTTATCCTTACACAAATTTGTTTTGGTGCTCATCTCTGCCAAGGGTTCTGCCATGAATCGATGCATTCATTAAATCTTTCAAGATTAAATGCAAACTATATTATATATACATGTAATATATATTATATGTATTATATATATTATATGTATTATGTATATTATATATATATCTGTACATGTATAGATAAATTCTGATGCTCATAGCAGATGTTTTATATGAGGTATATATGTGTATGTGCATGTATACACAGAGAGAGAGACCCAAGAAAATGTATACACACACTTTGAATAATTATGAAGACAGTTTTTATTAAAATAAATTTTATTTTCAAAATTGAGCTATCAGCTGTTAAAATGTGTAACATTTGGAACACCAAGTATATACAGATCTTATATACCTTGAACACCTACTAGGTGTCAGGCAGTATTCTAGGCAATAAGCAAAATAACCAAAATCTTTATCCTCACAGAGCTTAGATTCTGGTAATGAATTGTCTTAGCCCAAGTTCCCCAGAAAAAGGAGCCTGGGGCAAAGCTTGAGTGTCAATGCTTTATTAGGGATCAGTAAGAGTGAAGGAAAGGAGAAACAGATCTAACAAACAGATCCTGGTGATACATCAGTGATCTGGCCAGTGTTTTATGAAGAGAGGCAGCCAGTCTTTTGGCCACTTAGGATGTCTCCAGACAGG